AGGCCACATGGTAATCATTCGATCGCTTCGTCATTGAACTGCAACGACTTGTCTCGCGTCCACAGCTATTCCCCATTTTTCCCATTATAGAAATGAAAATTTGTGCTAGAGCTGAATGCATTTTCCACTTGGAAATGGCCCGTTCGATGGTGTGTGTGTGTGTATGTGTGGATATTTTACAATTTTTCATATTTATGGGCTGCTCATGACCTGCAGCAATAAACGTTTTCTGGCCACCAACAACATGTTGCTGCAGCATGTTGCTGCATCATTTTATGCCGCTGACAGACCTCGTTGTTGTTGCTTTCTCTGGCTATTACTGTTGTTTTTATTGTTGGTGTTGTTGTTGGTGGCCTAATCTCGACAAGATGAAGCGGCAGCCATATGGAAAAATATTTCAAAGAAAGATTGCCAAATGCTGATAAGAAAGACTGAATGCGACCGGCACGACGAACTCAACTCCCCGAAAAGCATTTGAAATTGATTAGAGAGGGAGAAGGAGACGCCAGCGCCAGACAGAGAGGGAGACACAGAGCCGGCGGAGCATCGTTTGAGATAAACATTTAAGATAGCATCGGTTCGAGCCCATTAGAGCCAATGGTTTAGAGATTTTCAAACAATACGGTGAGTAAATGTCCATTAAAAAAAACAATTTAAAACAGATTGAAAAACAATTTTTTTTTTATTTTGATTGACTGTAAAATGTTAATTTATTGTAATATTTAACGAAACAGAAAACCCCTAGTTTAAAGGCTAAAGGAGGAGTAAAGTAGAAAATCTCGATTTTAGTTCACTTTTTTTGTAGCCCCTAAAAAATGTTTCAACCATCACCTCTGATGGCTTGCTTATAGTTGCTCCATGGATCTTTGGCCATGATTTGTGGCTGGCAAAGGCAAAGTCTTCCTCCTTCTGATACAATAAAAAAAAACGATTTAAAAGATTGCGGAAATTCTGCTTGCCACCTGAAGTGGAGCATTCGAGACGCCTTCGAGCGGGAAACTCGAGCTGCGCGAAATGCTGCGCATGCGCCGTTTGCCCTTGCTGCATACCCCATTCATGGCTGCTCAAGTATTATATCCACTGTATATAGTATAGTATTGTAGCATTGTTCGGCAGCCCCGACTTGGTACCAGACAGCTTGCCGCAAAAGCCTTTCAGCTAAGTTTTGTTGTGATTATGAAATGAAAAACCCCCCGCTGCGGCCTGGCAAATGGCACGCTGGCTTTCATTGTCATGATGTGGGATCTGGGTTTGAGGCCGGGTGAAACTACTTAGAATGCATAAATTGGCAAGACAAGCTAATGAGACAGGCTCCTGACGGAAGCCGAGCCAAGATACATCTGTAGTATACTTGCATTCGCTGCTGTTACTTTGACATGCTAAAATTTCTGCACGCTGGCACGTTTCTGGCATTATAAACACATAAGGTATTCGCAAAACATTTTCATTTGCCAGATGATTGCGGGAGAGAAGAAGCGAAGCTTTCCTCTCCTTTGGCTGCTTTTCCAGCCGGCTTATTAATTCAATTCGAAATGCATTTTCGGCGAAATTGCTGTCTTTTGCCAGTGCGCTATGGTGAGGCTGAAAAATTTGCATAGTTGGGTGTTGTCAGAGCTGCGAATAGAGTGATAGAAAATCGACAGGTGAGCCGAGGGAAGCTATAATTGCATCCTCTTTGGCAAGTTGGCACTGCCGGCAATCAAATTCAATCAATTTAATTAAGCCAAAATGGGGGCGGGGCAGTACAATTTGGTAATAGAAGAGCCGACCCGGCGTATTCCCCAATTTGCTTTATTTTTAACGCGTTACGCACGTAGAGCGATGCCAAAAATATAATCGTGTATACACTTGTCTTTATATAGCTGCCATAATATCGAGTAACACAAACGACGCATACAAGCACACACGCACACACGCACAAAGGCTGGATAAGCTGGCCAGAAGGAAGTGAGTTTCCCTGGTCCCCTGGCTACATAATAAGGCGGCCATAAAGCAACAGAACGTGCTAACAACACGTACAAATGGGCCAAAAGGGATGTGGCTTCATTCAGCCCGGTTTTTCTGTTTATGCTGCTTCTGTTTTGCCAAACTATTTCTCGGAACTGACATACTGGAAAAATTGGACAGAATAAAAAGGAAAAATGTAGCTAGAGGTGGAAAGTAGGCGGGTTTCCAGATGTATTATTTATGAAACTTTTTACCTCTCTGGTTGGTCACTTTTCTAATTAAAAAACATGTGTTTTCTATTAAAAAAATATATTCCTCAAAGGTATTTTGCATTGTGATATATCTCAAGCCCTCATTTGCAAGAAAATAAATAAAATATATGAAAGGCTTGCCAGCCCTAAAACCTATTTAGGTTTTTTGGAAAGTACAAGTATATCTTGTCTTACCCATTACTAAATATCAGTGCTTTTTCTGCACCCATCATATATTCCGAGTTGAAGTTTTCGGGAAGGTCCCTGACAGTGGATGATGTTCTGCAGTTGCTTTGGACCGTAGAAATTTGTAATTCCCAAACGAGGCAACGGCGCATTCTCATGCTAAACACGAACCAAGAGCGATTTACTGGCACTTTTTCCTTTTTTTTCCTCGACTTCATATCCCCGAGTATGTGTGTCAAAAGGCAGACAACATAAATAACACGAGCCGCAACGAAGAAAAGATGCTTAACAAGGACGGGGAAATAACACGTGCAAAAAAAAAAAAGCAAGCTTGCTTTGTATTTCCCTTTTTTTTAAGGCAGCCGCTTGATAATAAAAATCAAATAAAGCCGGGCCAAGTCGAAGAAATGACTGAAACCGCAACGCAAAAGAAAGTGAGGCTGTGAAAAGGCAATGGAAAGTAAATTTCACACACGCGCCGATGAAGAGAAAAAAAAAGGGAAGAAAAACACGTAAATAAATAAAGAAGCGTGAACTCGAATTGATTTGCTTAAGAGAGCTCCAAACTCCGCCTTGTTAGGCGTAAAAACATCATAATTATAACGAGGTAGCAAATTTGTTTGGCTCCGTGCAGACAACGAGGCGAATGAGCAATATACTCGAAAGGAACTTTTTTATAGCACACACGGGCATTAAATTTAAAGCGAATGTCAAGAGAAAAAGGTTAAATGCAGCTGTAAAAATTCAACGACAGTGGGTTGTAGAGCTGGGGGAAAAAAGATTTATGAAAAATTGGCTTTTGTTGTTATGGTTGTAATGTCGTTGTTGTTACCATTGTTGTTGTTGTTTCTGTAGTTCCTGTGCGTCGAGGGGCTTCACAAGTAAACAAGATAACATGAGCGAAACACACTCACACTCGTAGCCAAACTTACACACACAAAAGTTCGTGAACGGAAATGAAAATGTGAACTTTATGACAGAGCGAGCTCTGTTTTTTTTTACCATCGCCGCACGACCTTCTCCACCCGCTGTTCGTTAGGATATCCGCTTTTAACCCGGCCGCATTTTTATCAACTAGAATAAATAAATCACAAACTATATGCCCTGAGGTCAACAAGGTTTATCCGCATGCATGCACAGAACAAAAATGAAGGCTATTATGCAACATAAAATCGATATGAAAAGGGTAATTAAAAGCGGTTAGCATCTCACATTAGATCATTAAAATGTTTATATTTTGTATTATTAATTAAAACTATAAATATTTTTAATGCCAATAACTTAATTCGTATTTCTTTTTACATTATTTTTTTCTTTGTACATTCTCCTATTTATTTATTTATTTAATTATGTATATTAAAGATCCTGGTTTTAAATTCTTTAATAATTTAAAACTATTTTTATTTGTTTGTGTCTAAAAAAAGGGGCAGAAAAAAATGAAAGCATAAATTAGCAAAATAATAATCAAGGCAGCCATAATTTTCATTCTCGTTCTCTCATTCATGTGAATTGAATTCTATCAGTTGACCGCAAAATAAACAAAGATGCCAAAGCAATTTTGTGGCCAATGGAAAAAACAACAAACACAACATGTTTGTGCATAGACAGATGCACATTGGCTAACATGGGTTAACTGGGTTAAAATGACAAACGCAATTGGGCACAGCAACAATAAAAACAGCACATTTTTGTTAAACATTTGTTGGCCTTTCTTCGGCTGCCCATGTTTTCCCACATAAATGTAATTTCATTTTTATAGGTCTTTCACAAATTTGTGTACCGTTGTTGTTTATGTTTATGTTTATGCATTTTAATGGCACAGTAACAGCAGGCAGCAGCCAAGAAAAGTCGGAAAATTTGGCAACTGAAGCGGCCTGCAATCAGCCGGCGCTTGCCAGCTGTCTGATCTTTGGCCCCTGGCCCCTTGCCCCAAAAAACCCCCTTAATGCCGACACACCCCGACCCTGGCACAATATCAAAGCCAAATTGTGCGTAAAATTCTGATGTGCCTGATGCCTGTGCCAAATAAAATCATCATCGGCGGAAAATGTTGAAACCAATTCAAAGCTGATGACTAAATGATGAGCCAAGTGATGGGCAGAAAAGGGCCAGCATCCTGAGAATGTGGGCCCAAATGCGTCATGTTTCCAGGTCATTAGACTTATTTATTGAATCAATGTTGTTAGACAAATTCAACAGGCAAGTGCTTCAGTGATCTGAATTATTTACAAATATTTTCCCAGAATTATTCGTTTTATTTGCCTTTCCAAATTGTTCTAGAAAATTAAACTTACTTTATAATGGCTATTTAAAAAGCAGCAAAAGCAACTGTCGAGTTTATATTTACCTCTTTAAAAATTGCAAGTTTTTCCTGACTTTGAAAAAACCTCACGCTTTTTATTTTTTTGCATATAAACATTTCGTCAAATATACCAAATATGTTCAATTCATAATTTTACGAGTTACTAATACTGCAATAATATGTTGAATATCTGCATAATATCACATACATTTTTTTAAAATTAAAATGTTCTTTATGTTATTTTAATTGAAACAGACAATTGAATATATAATTTATATACTTTTTTATTGAGCCGAGAATTAATAAAATATTTCCCTGTTTTGTAAAACATTGAAATAATAAATTTTGAGCAGTAAATGTGGTTTTTATGACAAGCTAAATCACCTCAAACTACGGTTATTTGTAAGCCAATAAAAAATGCTCAGAGACAAGCGTTTTATTTCAATTGGCATATAAAACCCAAGAGCTAAACATTATTTCAGTAAATACTTTTTAATGGTAAAATAAAACTGACGGATTGAAAACGACCACCGCTATATTGATTAACGCCAGGACTCTGACTCATCCTTTGTAATTAGCTTTTTTTTAGTGATTATGCTCGTTCCCTGGAAATATTAGCTTGTCATCCTGAAAGATTCTGCCCCTCACCCCAATCCAACCATCTCTAATTGCATTCAATACTCGCAGCCCAAAAAAGCCCCTTCCATTCGCCAGATAAAATTTCAAATAACTGGCGGAAGATGAGAGGAGCGAAAAACAGACGCTGCCAATCCCCTGTAATCCGAGCTCGACGAAGAAATCACAGTCACAATCCTTTGGCTCCGGACTGCCACTCAGGTGTGTCGTCGAAGTTCGGTCGAAACTTGTTGAAAAATGGCAAACGTTAATCAAAGTTAAGCGGCGCAGCAGCGCAGACGAAGTCGACGTCAAAGTTAATTAAATTACAAAGTTATTTAATACTTTCGAATCGCAACCGGTCGGGAACGAGCAGCAGGAGTCGGAAGAAGTCGGCAGGAGTCGGCAGGAGTCAGCAGGAGTAGCATCTGCTCCTTCGAACTCTGCCCCCCCCAATCTCTTGCATCGCTTGTTGGCAGGGCAACGTGTGGCAGTCCTTAATGAAAAGTAATTGTAATAAATTAATTTTTCTCACACTTTTCACGTGCATCCGCTCCGTTCTGTAATGGAAACATTTCGTGTGCTTTTCAGCTCTTCCTGAGCTGCAGTTTAATTCGGTTTTTCAGCTTTCAGTTTTCAGTCCGGCTGTGACCAGTTAATCTCCTGAATGGCCTTCTCGGCCCCCACTCCTGCAAGGACCTCCCCCGGCTCCTCCCCATCGGAGTCCGAGTCCAGCTCCACATTGCTGCATGGCTCCTGCATCTCCACATCTTCGACTCCGCAATTTCCAGTGGATTGGCGTGAACTCTGCTCCTTCGGCTCCATCAGAAAGGGACAGACGAGGGCTGTCCAGGTTAAAGTTTTTATTACGATGAGAAGATGATGGCTGAATAATAAAATAAAATCGCAGGGGCAGGGAAAACCGATCAAAAGCGTTGAATGCTTCGCTTCAGTGGATTTTAAGTATTCGAGGTTGTTGTGATTTGGTTCAGGGCTCTTAAGAGTTATCTTTTTAATTTATATAATTTCTTAATAAAAAATAACGCATAAATATTATATATTTATAAAACTTGAAGCAAGAACTCAATAATATAATGTAGGCCCTATAACTGTGCATTTAAGACTAACTTTAAAGGTGATGGGGAAGCTTAATCATATAACTTCTTATAAGGGTCTTAAGTAAATAAGTAAATAAATACCTGCATGGGTTATCTCCTCCTTGGTCTCGTAAATGTCCATTTCAAAGACCTGACTGCGTGGCATCAGAGCATCCAAATAGGCAGGTTTCTTGGGCGGACCCACATTTAAAAGCCTACAGCTGTCGTCGGGTTTGGAATTTTCAAAAAGCGATGCATTTGGACTGCAGCCCAAGTAGAAGCCATTCAGGGCCTTTTTGGTATTTAATTGATTCTCGGCATGACGATTCCTCACGGCCACATAGCTCCTGTCCGTCACCTGCTCCATAACCGTGTTCTTGTAGGTGTGCGCCCCGGGAAATGGTGGAAAATAGTCGGGAATATGGGAGTTGCAGCCCATTTCCCGGGCCTTTGTGCCGCTCAGCATCGGTTGTGGCCCCTTGTGGAAATCCTCGTCGAGTGTCTGCGGCACTGGACACTCGAGCAGTGGCTCCGCCTCTGCCAAATGACCTTGGCAAATGGCCTTGAGGTCGCCCACCTTGATGCCCATCAGGCCAAAGGTGCGCTCCAGATCAAAGTAGCTGGGCGCACTGCGACCGGCGTGATTGGCCCCATTGGAGGTCCCAACTGCAATCTCACGGAATCCTCAAACAAACCAATGATTATAATTTTTCTTTGGCTGGAAATGGCTACTTACTGTTGCGAAGTAGATCCACCATCGAGTGACGTAACAGCTCGTCCTTCACCTCGCAGTTCTTCTCCGCCAGCAAATTGTCAAGCACTTTGAACAAGACCTCCTCGTATGAATTCATGATTGAAAAATGGATGGAGAAATTTGTTAGAAAGCTGTCAGAAAAACAACAGTGCTGCAAAACGCTTTATGAAAATACAGTTGCGGAAGCTAATAACTTTTATCGATACTTAAAACTAAATTCAGGATTGCCAACATAAGTTTTTGGATTTAAAGTTTTACATTTGTTAGTATTTAATTTCTCTATGTTCGGGTAATTCCAAAAAGTTTCATAGAAAAGTTAAACGTTTGCCATTTTAACTCCTATTTCTTCGCCCAATAAAAGAACTTAAAATTCAGGTAATAAAACAAAAGATAAGCATAGGTTTTATTTTAAGAACTTAAATACTATTATTTTGCAAACATCGTTTATACTCGTTTGATGGCAAACTATAAATAAAATAAGAAAACCAAGTAGCAACAATAAGGAATAGTATACTTCCCAATAGTAGAACAAACCACCTCCGCTCTTAACATATTATCAACATCTTTCCAAAAGACTGAGCAGTAAAGACAAGCAGCTAACTACCGATTTGGCATTATTTCCGCTCCGCTCCCCGAAAACTAATTACAATATTTTCGCCTTTTGGGATCGCGACCAACTGAAAACTGCTTAGCCATAGACTCCTATCTTGAACATCTCTCCTAATGAGTTATGCAAATATTTGCAGCCGAATGGGTTCCAAGAACACCAAAGTGGAAGCCATTGTTTGTCCGATGACAAATTCTCCAGACTCCGTCATAGATTAGCCGAAACGTGAGGCATAATCAGTCATAAGCCAAACAAATGGCGCGAAAAGAGAATGGAGAACGGAAAACGGAAAACTTAGAGGAAAAAAGGGGAAAATGGAAAATGAAGAATGGAGAATGGAAAATACCAGGCACGAGGTCACTGTGTCAGAGTGGAAAAAGTACTTTAGATGCAGACAGATTCGCGTTTTGTGACGCCCAAGAGGCTGCTGCAATTGAACAAATTGCACCTCCTCCCATATTCCTTATACTCCCTCCACTCTTTATTTTTTACGATCTGCATCATGAGGCTGCTGATGATGGGGATTATGTTGGCGGTCGTGCATTGTGGGCGTTCCATGGCTGACATTTGTACAAAGAACTCGCCCGTATCTAAGATCTCATGTTTATGCCTCTAGGCGCTACCGTTTAAGGCCCACAGAGAAAACAAATCTTGACTGATGAATAATGCATAATAAAGTCTTTGATGTGACTGCTAACCACTTATTTATCTATCAACCAAAAAAACAATATTAAAGTTAGACGTCATATTCCTTAAAGTATTGCAGTTGTCAGGTTTTGTTAGCCTAAAATTTGAATAGAGAACAAGTTTTGGAGTATATTTTAATATTTATTAATGCTTCATTTTGTTGTTGATTTAAAACAATTTAATACGGAATATAGCTCATGTTAAACGGTCATTATTAACTTCTAAAGATTTCAATGAAGCACATAATTAATTTTTAGTTAAGCTTTTCAAACGGATTTAACTTTTCTATGATCTCTAAAATGGTATTCAGCTCAAACAAAGTATAAACAAGCCGTTAAAGTATTTTTGATCAAGTCTGTTTGAAATATAAAGTTTTATGGCCTTATATATAATTATTGTGACTAAAAACTTAAGCATTAGCATCAATGTATAGAATCTGAGCTCAACTGCAGATGTCTTATCTAATGCTTTTGTTTCGTTCTTGACAATACTCTTCGAGAACTTCCGCTTCGCTAATTTTCGCCAGTGCATTTTGTGATGAAATGGAATCCGCTTTCTTGACATGCTAATTTATGCACTCGCATTTGCGGTTGCGCCCATTGTCGCATAAATTCATTCATAATTAACAAGATGCGCCAGAGAATGGAGAACACATCCCGACGAGCGTTTCGCAAGTTGTTTGCCCAGACGACAAACAAAATAATTGCTGCAATTTAGCCACCAGCGAGCAACGGCAAAGAGCCTAACATATTCGATGTAGTATATGGGAAGTGCAACCGGCGCAAATTGAGCTGTCCCGAGCTAATTCGAACGATTAATTCGATAAGCTTGCAGCTCAAATCGGCAAACAGAAAGACGGACGACAGTTGGACAAACAGGCGGCGGCAGCCAATTGATTGAGCAGCCGATTACTGGGGAAGTCTTGGCCGACGGCCCGGTGCAAATTGCCCCGTCGACTGGTCGGCGCACAAAGCACCACAAATTGTTCCAGTTTCCGAGGCGCAGATAAGTCCATTGAGATATCGAGCCTGGTTCTCCTTCTGCTCCTCCTCCTCCCTATTTTTTCTCCCCATCACAGCTGTCTTTCCAAGACCGTTAATCCCACGCAGGCCAAATGCATTCCGCCACGAAACTCTTTCACTCTGAATTTAGCGGAGTCTGCGGCACGATCTTCGGGGTTCTGGTTCTATTCCCTGGAACCAATCAGTTGACCGAGGGCGGCATTATCTTTATGACAGGCTGCTCACTGCCGGAACTGGCCGACAGGTTAAGCCACGTTTTCTTAGATAGAGATTGGCTAACAGAGCCAGTTGAACTAGTGACCTTTGCGAAGAGCTCATCATTAAAGTTTATGTTATGAAAAATAATACTTTTTGGTTTCTCTATTATTTATTTAGAATTTAGTGGATTTTAATTATAAAATTTAAGTATGAGAGCTACCACCACTTTTGTAAGATTTTTCATATTAAGCAAAAATTAAAAATATAAATAAAATTTTAAAGTAAACAGATTTTTTTTTTAACAGCAAAAGTATGATATTATTTTTGTTTAGGGCTGTCGCTAAAACTCAAAGATCTTAGAGCTCAGTTAAAGGAAAACAAATTATCGCTGATTGGCAGTCACCTTTTATAATGATCACTTAGTTAAGGCCTCATTACAATCTCCTGAAGTCAAGACAATCAAATCGAGCGATTGCACGACTTTTTGCCGGTTAAACAAATCGCTAATGACACAATCAATGCAAAATTGCGTAATTAAAGCCAGATGGCCAACGGTTTGGGCCACGTTTGATCAATGGCCAGTCAACCCACGGAAGCCAATTTAAAAAAGACACAAAGCGCGTTCGTCAACCCGTCAAATTGTGTTAAATTGTAAAATGACAACAGCACTAACAATAACAATTATTGTAAGTTATTGTGTGTGTTGGGAAAACAAGTTTACTTGTACACCGGCAGGTGAATTTTCAAAACATGGTGTACGATTTGGGAAATCACTTAACTCCAATCTTTAAGTACTAAAATGTGGGCCATGTGCAAATAATGAGGTAATCCGTGAGCAAATTTTGATATGTCGCCCTTCTATCTTATCAGCCCAAAAAAACAGTTGTTTTTAACACGAATGAAAACAGGTTATAAACATATTTACATAAGCTTCGCACTGATTTTAGTTACATTTCGTAGAAACCATAAAGTTCTTTACACTTGGTTAAGTTTCAGGAATTTTTTAAGTACTGATTGTGAAAAACACATAAAAGTTTAACGTTCTAATGAATCATTTTTGTTTAAGTCAGCTTTAGTGGTAGTTCTATAAGGTTTATTATTATTATTTTGCTATAAAGGGCATACAAATGTACGTTTTTAAATTAAAAGTAACAATATTTAATTTGACTTGTCTCGAACTTTATAAAACAAATAGTTTGCACACAAGTCTTAAGTGTTTGTTCTCTCTGTAAATTTATATGATATGTAACCAGACTGCATCAACATTTCTTTATGCAAATATATCGTTAAACACTTTCCGAAGCACTCTTCTTCGTTGTGTTTGCTTTTTAGATATTTTTAGGGCACTTGCACTTTGAAAGTTCTACTGTTGACTTCTTTGCACTTCGACATTTGTCTGCTCAAAAACTTTTTCCCCACTGGCAGTTGTTTGCATTTTTCGCCGAGCTCTGACAAAGCCTGGGTTATGCAAATCGAATGGAAAAGATTGAGATAGACAAACAGACAATGTTGCAATTTGGACTTTTATGAAGTTGACAAAGCAATTTTGCGCCCAGACTCACTTTCTATTTGCACTCCGGCTTATTAGATTCAACGGCATGTTGGGAACCGCCTATCTAATCATAGGCCAGGTGACAATTTCTGAAAGGGAAAACGAAGATAGCAATCTTAATGGCTTGATTATTTCCAATTGACACAATTTGAGAGGCTGCGCCTGGTTTTCGCTTTGACCAAATTGAAATTTATTGCCGAAACAAATGGCGAATTATGTCGAACGGAATTTAATAAATTACCAATTCAAGTGAGGCTTCATGTGCAAAATGGAGGAATTAAAAACGGACTGCGGAGCTCGTGGCACATTTAATAATTCAATTCTGTTTGCCAGAACCGAAGCAACGGAGTCTGCCCCGATTTCGATTCGATTTAAATTCAAATCAACTTTTCAAAAGCTGGCGGCAAATTTATGCAATATCAGGTTCCCCCCTTCTTTTGTGCTCATCCGCTCCAGAAGCACAAAAATGCTAAATTTGTGCTAAAAACTAGAAACCTTCTAAGCATAATTACGCAGTTCAACGTGCATAAGTAGATACAACTTTAGAAGAGCGTCAGCCTCATCGAAATTTTTGGGTAAGACAAAGGAATTCCGTTGGGTATTTGACGGGGTGGGGGAGGTAAGTTTCTTGCAACTTGCTGTATCCTATATCGGCAAAATAAACATTTCCAGCTGACAGACGTCGAAGCCAACAAAGATAAACAAACAAAGCCACAGAATGCAGTTGCTTAAATTATGAAAGAAACGCCAGATGATCAAAGGGATGGGTGAAATATCAGGGGGGCGTATAGGGAAATCCTGACATTTTCAAGTGGCTGTGATCCGCCGCGTACTCTGTTGCAATTACAATATTATTTTCTGGACCGCATTTCGCTGACTCGGAGTGCCTTGAATCGAGTAGTTTACATTTTTATTCGCCCCTCGATATGTCAAAATGCTTTTACCCCACACTCGAGATGGTTTGCATTTTGTGCCGCGACTGAGACAATATTAATGCCAAAGAAAATGTCTAGAGTACAATTTGCATATTTTTCTCTTTTGTTTTGAGAGTTTTTATTGATTTTTGCTGTATTTTTGTATTGCAGATTCGCCAATTCTGATTTGAAAAGTCTCAAAGACGTCTACCCAATAGGTAATTATATTCATATATATATATTATTTCAGTAAACATTTTAAAGAAGCAAAATATTTCGTTTAAAACTAACTACCATGTTCAACCAAAAACTCACTTACAAATGTGAATTGAAGTTGTATTATAAATTTCACACGGCAAAATACAATCGTATAAATCAATTGCTTGTTGGATACGCATGCAGTTCATTTGGCTAATGCAATTTGAGCCACCAAAAAAGCGCCCACTGCAATGTGGTTACTCCACTTGGCCCTCTTGTCAATATTTACCGCACATTTTGCGCAATGCAAAGCGGCGACTTTGGTTTTCATCTTTTGGACTTGGTTTTGTTGCTGCTTCTCGTATTCGGTTTTCATTTACACTTATTTATATTTATTTCCTCACACCAACTACGTTTGGAGACTGGAGTCCAAAACGATTCCGCCAGCCATTCGCGATTTCCTAGTGCTTATTTATGCTGATTCCTTTGGGCACTATCGCCATGTGCATTTTTTTATGGAAAAAGGGAATTGCGGCGGTAGTTACTACAATAAGTTAGCGATAAGGCGTTGGAGTGGCATATAAATTAATAAAAGTACAAACAGAAAAGTTTATGCCGTCGCACGTGGCGCATACGTAATAATTTCCAATCGTATTTCTGTGGCCTTACGG